GATTAATCAGGCGGGTGAACCCTTGCCGTGTGAAACGTTCCGAGTCTACGCACCGCGATGGCCTTTCTTAAAGCTCAATCAGTCCGAGACACTAATGGAACTTGTTCGAGATAAACTGGGTTCAACCTGGAATGGAGACCTTCGAGTATGGATTCCAGAGGAAAAAGGCTGGGTATGTTCAGTTCCTGTTACATCTTTAATGTTTGCTGTTGTTGACTGATTGTCTTACCGAATCGTGCTTGCCCCCCCTTGCTAATTCAGGTGAAGATGCAAACTTTGATAGTGGAGGAGTATAACCCGCACTATTGACGAATCCTCATATTATTTCCTGGAATTGTACCGGAAAAATGCAAGGAGATGGAATCCAACATCGCATTGGTAGGAAGTATGACCATTATCCAAAAGATGGATTTGCATAGTGTAATTAGTCCAGTAGCCTATTCACGATTTCACACACCTTCGGCCACACCGGCTACCCCTACCCCACATGCCATTGTAGTCAACATATCATCAGATGACGAAGAGGACGGTGAAGGAATTCACGATGGAATTGGCAGTCATCATCCTAGCTCTGACCTCCCAGAAGTGGAGGACATTATACCGACTAACCCAAACCCTTCTAACTCTAACCTATCTACGGCTGATGATGAACCCCCGGCACCTACTGACAACACGGAACCCAATGTAGTCACGCTATTTCCCTATCTAGAGCAAGGATGGCCCACCCAACCGAGACCTGTTTCGATGAAGTCACTGTGCGCTTTTGTGGCACTCACCGTGAAACCCAAAAACCTTTTGATCAAATCGGCTTTTAACAGGGTATACGGCCAAACTCATGTTTACGCTCCTTCGACCGTATCCAAATACCGTCGATGGGTTATAAGAATTGATGCAGAGGCGCTTAATGCTTACATCAATAACGGCAACCCCACGGTGATCGAAGCGAAACACAAGTTTTGATCTGAATGGATGGAGATGGACCATCGCGGTAAATCCCAGCGTCGTAACATTTGATTATACACTATGTTTGATTTACGTGGATTCTTATAACATGATTTAGTCAGTTTAAGTGTAAATAATTGTCGTTATAATTTTATTCCTTTTTTTTACTTATAAATAATTATGCGGTTTGACCTGTTTTTAGCTCTCCTATACCTTTTCATTTGTCAATAATGATTATTACTCCATTGATATTCAAATGTTATCTTTAATCGTTTTTTTGCTTATAAATATTTCTGCGGTTTAACAATTTTTATTATAGCTGTCGCATACATTTTCATATGTAAATAATCAGTCTTCTTCCATTGATATTCCAATCTTGATCTTCATGCTCTGTCTCTTCTTGAACATTGGTATTCTGACTTACAAATAAGTATCTTTGGTAATAAACCAATGAAACTAAGCTAAGCTAGCTGGCATGATGAATAGTAGATGGCATTAATCATTAATACCTAGGACGTTGATAGATATGTATTTGATCTACGCGTTAAGTGAAAAACATATTGATCCAAGTACCTGATCAGTGTGAAGTTTTATATACCTACTTGCTCGTATTATAGGTCATAGTGCACTCACTTGATTCAATGTAATTCGGATCATCCAAAACCATGAAAATATTTGAGACTAAGCTCGCATGTTGTGAAATGAATAATTTAACATTCACAGAAAATATTTGGGGACCAATCATATGAAACTGGCAAAGCGAGAGATCGCCATCCAAAAGACGCGCGATCAATCCATAAATAGGAAATCCCCCAGTCAAACTTGCAAGTTTTAGAATCAATTCTGAATCAATTCTGCCCTGTCATTTGTATCCATTTAAAACCACTTATTAGAGATAATGAGTACACCAGGCAAATCACCGACGGCCGAACCGGGCCCTTGTAGCAAAGAAGATATTGATAAAAGACTCCAGAACTTGGAAGTGGACGATCAAACATTGTGTTCGGGTATATAAATTTTTTTTGGTCCAATTTATCCTTTGGTGTATAACTGACGTATGATAATAAATATTTTGATTTCATTCACCCAAATTCAAAATGCCAAGATAAAATTGAAGGACACAAAGACGAAGAAGAAGAAGAACATCAAGATAATGACGATCAATCCGATGAGTATGTGATCAAAACAAGTGGTAAATTTTTGTTTTAACTTCCACCACGAGTAACTACTAACAAACACTGACTCTTTTTGATCATGTAGAAAATGATGTGGAGGTTGATTCTTTGTTAGGTATTTGATGCACTTGACTTAAATTGTTCTACTATATTATGTTTTAACGATTTCATTTCATTTTTTTGGATAGAACTGATTTCCGATCACAGTGATCGAGTGCTATACTACGCGGCCATTGATGATATAAGTGCTAGGGAAACGGGTTGTATATACCGCTTGTTTGCCAAATCAATCAACCAAAGTCATCCTCCTTACAATCCGTATGAGTGGCTCAATTTTATGGAAGATTCAGTACGATTTCAGGTCAAGCAACCCGTCCAGTTGCCTGCCAGAGACACAGCATTTTGGGTTGCTAAAAACATCTACATAGATGCTCACGATGAACTTCATGGCAAGTATATAATCAAGTCCAGCTTGTTGTGGGATGATTGTGATAGCAGAGCTCATTGTTTTGAGCGTTCTCAGAGCAATAGGTATGCTACGACATTGTTGGAAGCTTTTCGGCAATCCATCCTCATCCATAAACGACGAAAGGAACGCAAACGAGGTGCGAGCAACAACCTCCACCGCCAGATCTATTCAGATTGTTGTGCTTTGAAGGTGAGTAGTCTACATCTACTATTCGAATAAATGAAATTTTGTTAAGTATGGTATCTGAGTTAATTGCCCAGATCGCCTCTCTGTATGTGATGCAGACAGCCCGTTCTGTCTATGACGGAGCGCCACGATGGTTAATTTGTGAGGGTCTATATGATCCTAATACGACCCACCGTTACATTTGGGAGTACGACTTCAACAGCCTTCCCAGGGACAAGCAAACTTGGACTGATCACATTAACGCATGGGTTCATTATACTTATGAGGTATCCGGTAATCAAACTTTGATAGTTGGCCTGGATTGTGACGAGCATGGTGTTTTAACTAATTTGGTTTTGTTTACCAAGGGGTGAGTATTATTGTATCTCCACAAGCATAAATAAGAGTTAGATGCTGATCGATCGTATGTGTGCAATGTGCCTTAGAAAACCTCTACACTACGACGAGAGCGCGGTAATGAAGGGCAGAATAGAACATACTTTTATGCATTTTCGCAAACAACATGAGTGTAATAAAATATGTGAACATGTCGGACTGAGCAAGTTGCAAAATTCAAAGGGAAAGGCCAAGGATGTCATGGAATTGATGTATCTGAACAGCCCTTAATGACCGTTTGAAAGCATTTTAACTTGACACATTTCTATATGTATAGTAGTTATTGAATAATTGTTATGGCTATAGAAACACTTATAGCATAACCCAATCTTTCCATCCATAGTGAGGTGTTTGTGAGATCAGACAACATTACAATGAGAGAGACAAAGACGACAGACATGAAACAAATGATAAGATAAGATAGCATAGAGAGACAGGAAGAATAAGTGCGGCGCTGCCTGGGAAGCATCAAATCATGGAAGGTCTGATGACCGAGACATATCAAAGTGACCAATAAAAGAAACGTTGGCCCGAGCCTCCAACTTTTCCAACAAACGATTATTATGAAGTCGTATCATTTCATCTAAGAAAAAATTGTATCTAACATGGCCCATGTTTCGACACATGGCATCAAACCTTCCAAACCAAGCTTTGGTTATCTCTGCGGCCGAGGCATTGAAACGCCAGGCTCCATCCGGCTTTTTCAGTTCCGGAAAAAGATGAGGATCATTATTGAGTCGGCACGTAGTATGCGACTCCTTGTGAGACTTGATGTGAAAAGTATCAACCGGTAACATCGTATTCTTGAATTTATCAGCGTCTATGGGGTTAGATCGTATGTGGGAGTAGAGACCACACGCATTGTCATAAAAAATGATTTCTGGCATGTTATCGGGGAATACTTCGAGTAAGAACTCCTGTTAAGTATTTTATTAAGTATCCGCATGGTATCTTTAATCAGAGAGTAAGGTATATCCTCACCTTCACTTTGGTAACCGATTCAGACTTATAAAAGGTCTTCCTGCCCAGTATGATACCACAAGTTGTCAACGCAAGTTGTTCGTTGTGTGTGCGGACACGTGAGATGAGTATCCTTTTCTTGCGTCCAGAATTCTCGGCGTCGGCTTCTGCACTCGCCCCACCGTCACAAGCGCCCTCGTGCGCACGTTCTTCTACCTCTGAATACATTCGGTCCTCCTCAGATAGCACAACCTCACCCGTTTCAGGCTCAAGTAGTTCACTTGGGTCCATATGAAGGTTTGCATGGGGCCGGTTGAATCGACGAGGAAGACCGAAGAGGGATGTATTGCGTTCTTTGAAGGTTTTGTTGGCGGCGATGTGATCCTCAATATGACAGGTTTTGGTGCCGTTCACAGCCTTGTTCATGCAGGGCTGGGCTTGACAGATGTCTTGCAATAGCGGCGTGTGCGTTGGACAAAAACGGTGGTTGACCTTTGCTAAGGGCTTGGTGCAACTTACAGCGGTGGTATTTGGATTGAGGAATTGCAGTTGTTCTTGGGATGCACTGCAACTCCAGATGCCGAGGGTGATACCATCCGTTACCATGGATCGTAGAACTGCTTACATTTGGCTAGTTGCCATCTCTAAACTTGTGGGAAACGTTGACACATACTTTTTCCCGTCCCTGTTTCTTTGTCTAATTTCACTTCGGTACAGGTAGAGCACACGTGTGCGGCGTAGGCGCTTCCCTCTAACCTCTTCCATTCGAGGTGTTGCATCATTGCCAATTCGAACCGCTTGTCATCAGCGCCTTTGGAATTGCCAGTTAATCGGACACCACGTATTGCGTAGACCTCCATCAGGCGATGAATATCGAGGCCGAGAGAACATACATTCGCACTTAATCTCCTATTATAACGCCCTTTGTTGAAATTGTTCCGGTACGTTGTCTTGATGTTAGCGTGACTTTGGTTGTAGGAATTAACCACGTTATATATAGACACTCTGGACACCGATAACGGAAAGAAAAGATTTAGTTTATCTTGCGTTGTTTGCATAAGTATATATGTGTCAAATATACTCTTACATAGCTAAGTTCTGGTTGTGGTTGAAGTGATCGGCCAGACGGTGGCTCATAAAATAGTGCTGCGTCACTTGGAAATTTTCCTTGGGCTGGCCTTCCGCCACAGAGTAGTAATGACGTTCGAACTTGTCACTGTAATAAGTAGGCGAGTAGGTGGTGTTGCAATCTGTATTGGGTAATTAGTTTGCTGCAATATCTTTGACTTGTTATTTAATAATGGAATAAATTACTGACGACGGCAATACAAATTGTAATATTCAACAGTCTGAATACCTGCTATGTCAAATAAATAGCCAAACTTAGATTTGCGCCGTTCGAGTGACAAGGGGGCACCGGTCTTTGAGGCAGTGCAGTTGAAACATGTCGCAGTAGGTGGCTGGAAGTACTGTTCGGTGAGTGGGATGGTAATCTTTCTTTGCTGGGGAGAGGGAATGCCATATTCTTGAAATAAGGTCGGTTCATAATAGCAGGATGGAAGGACATCGTAAGTGATGTTCCACAAATGACCCCATTTGGAATCCGGCTGCCCTGCATCAATGCAATGACTGATGAATTCGTATGGCGCGTGGTTTGGCGAAGTGAAGAACGCGCCATTTGTGCGCTTCAAAAAATCGGCGGCCAACGTGGCAAACTTTGTCAGCTGGCTCAGGGTCAAGGTGTCGTGCGCTGTGGGGTCGATGACCTTTATCTGCGCCATGAGGTCTTGTACTAGCATGAGGGCGAAGACGGTGGAGATATCGGGATGGAGCAGATGTAAAAAATAGGCGTCGGAAGGGTGGGATATGGTATCAGGAGGAGCCACACTGGGTGCGGTTGAAATGCTATCTCACTACGTATCCGCATTCGTACGGCATTGACATAAGTCGACGTGGGAAACTTAATTTAAAATTAATAATTACCGAAAGCGTCGGACTGTGCAGACTGCGCTCGCTCTCACTCTCATTTTGAGAGCGGCTCTCTGCCTCCCACAGCCCTTCGAGACTTCTGGAAATAGGGAGGGTCTCCATCTCCAGGCCAACAGAACCGAGAACTGACAAACAGATCCGGAGTACCGAAGAGAGCGGGGTCGGGATTGTATCTTTTTAGTTTTTAGATCTTTCATCAAAAGGCCTTCAACTAATAACATCAAGTATTTCAAGAATTTCAGTCAGCCGTTTCAGAAAGGAAAAACAACATGTTCATCGCCTACTTCCTCGTAGCCCTTTGCGCTCTCCCCTCATGTCTGTCTCTGGCCCAGATAGACAGTGGCCCAGCTATCAATTTAATCCCGCCCGGCAGTCGTGAGTTTTCCATCCTCTTGTATTCCACGAGACTCTATTAGTGGTATGTACCTAGTAAGATATAAAAAACATATGTTGACATATTGCTTCACGTCTGTTTAGATTTATGCAGTGTAGCCTGGTTCCCGCCGGGGGCTAATTCGAACACCAAACCTGGTAGCCACAATAGTAAGACACGCTTTGTGATGTGTCTGTCTGGACCTCAAAAGAACCTCATCCAGTGCTGAAACTTTTAAATCTCGCGGTCCTTTCCACAACAGTTTGTATAGGCAGAAACTCTTCCTTCACCTGTACAATAACTGGAGTTTCTACAGAACCAAGACGAACGGCACCCAGTTGAGTACTTTCCATATAACACAGTAGCACTGGAGAGTGAAACCTTCATTGGGTTTTGCTTTGCTATATGCTCTTCTTTCTTTCAAACGTAGTCAAAGGCTGATCGGTGTTATATCTTATTCATCAAAAGCGGGTACCACTTGTACTAAAGATGGGCAAAAGATCAAGGACACAATCTGTCCTGGAGGTTATCAGCGCTTTGGCGCAGGGTGTAAGTCGGGCTTCTCAAAAGTTCAGGCCTCGTGGTCTCTTACCCATACGACTCCTATTCAGTCATCTTCACTTACATATAGGTCTCTCAACAGTTGAATGCTACCAGAAATTCGCTACCAAAGAGTCTGTTCAATGCCAAAGCGTGGAAGTTATGCGTGTGTTCATAGTTTTATCTCCAAAACTAACTTGCTCTCACCCGTCTATGAGATCTGACCTTAATGTGACTGACACTTGTTTGGCATCTTGTTTTGTTGATTAAAGTTGGTAGTGAATGAAAATGACCAGCCAGCTCTTCTTTTCCAACACCTCTATCCTTGGTCTCTGTTTTGAAATCCATTTTCTCTGCACCAGAAAATGATTACTTGCCCTGGCGGTGGGAAGGCATAAAAATCAACAATGTATTGCACACATAATTTGGTTTTTCTTGTCCTGAAAACAGACAATCAACATTGTGTCTCTCAGCCTGACACTGTCTTTGTAGTTTTTTCCAACGTCATATTCTGTGGTCAACTCCTTTCTCTCTCCTGATGTGATGGAAATGTTTCATAAAATGTAAATAATTCATGTGTTTTGCAATGAATCATCCTCTGAAGCTTTGTTGTGTTTATTTTTTGCTTGAAAGGTTTTCCCGACTGCAAGCACGGGACAACTTCTGACTCTGACCAAGTGAGATGCACCTGGTGTACTCTCTCACCGGATGGTTGTGTAGGAAAGGTGACAGAAGAATGAGGGATGCTGTGTGACACACACCCATGCTTGTCACCTAGCCTTCACGTAGCCAACAAGACCATGTCGTGTAACTTGATTTACCAGCCAATCAGGGGGGAGATGGGTTGTGCAAGAGCGACCTGAAGCTGATTCAGGCAATGAGTGCATGGCTGATGTGCAAGTTAAGTAGTCTTTGCACAACTGGTCAGCCAGGCACTCAGCACCCAAATCAGCTTGGACGTTAGTAATCCAAGCAGATTCCAGTGCTGAGCTTGATTGCGGGAGTTGATTAGTCTGCACGCAATCTGTCAGCCAGGTGCCTGATAGGATTACTGGTTTTCAAGTGGACTTGGGTGCTGAGTATCTGGCTATTGTGTGAGCAAAAGGTCAGCTAGATATGTAAACTGTAGTGGATTGTGAGATTGGACGACTGGAATCTTGGATATAAGAAGCAAAAGAGATGAGTACAATGATCTGGATTCTCTAGTTTATCAATGTCCTTGAACAATACCAATTTCAATTGAACACTTCCAAAAAAAGGTTTTGAACTCCCCTCAATGAAATAACCTCAAATCAACCTTTTGGCTAGCAACACTGCTTTTGTGTGCTGCACTGCAGAGGCATTTCAGTTTTCAGACTGCACCACACTGTGAATCCATTAGGTTTGTTGTGGTCTGCTTTGCTGTGCAACAAGATTATTGGTATCAGTGTTTCTTTTGGACCACAACAACACCGGTTGTGTTGGAGCATCCCCAGTTGTGCCGTAAATTGGTGACATATGGAGGGTTGCACAGATTGTTTAGGGAACTGTTTGAGGTATAAAATTTGAAGCATGTACAGTCATGGTTCCCTACTGTTTGGCTTGTAGCATAACTTGTGATCTGTATTATGGCTTAGATGATTATCAAGGTGTGTGATTTGCGGAGAGTCCAATTGTACAAGTCGGAGCTTATTGGAGAAGTGAGGTACAAAAGGATTTAGGGTGCAAGCAGAAAAAGAACATATTTGGCCTATTTTGACTTGCAAAGAGAGAATTGCCCTAGTTAAGCATGAGTTTGGGGGTAATTGCTGTGAATAAAAATACCTCAAATTTATGTACATCATGGTTTATGACACAAGGCTGTGGATGCTCTTACAGTCCACAGAATAATAGTATTCAATTGGTTTGGCACTGTCACCCATTTTGTGTTGCACAACAGATGGGCCCGGGCACAATCAGACCTGGCTATTGATGTTGTGGTACTCCTAAAACATTGCAAGATGCGGCCTTTTGTTGCTTGTTGCGGTGCAACACAACTAAAACTGCGCCTGGTGAGAAGTGTTGTCCTGCAACTGTGGCTTCTAGACTTGACATATATAAGCCAATGGGAAAAGTGTATTTGCCTTTGGCTATTATACACAACACCCCTACCAACGCACTGCTGCCCTGAAGCAGCCAACATGTTGGATCAAAGACCTATGACAATGTCAAATGCCAGCCCATATTGAATGTTATCACAGCCTGTGACTTTGTACATGTGAATACCAACTGTATGTGAATCAATCACATACACATGGAAACATATGTAAATTACATTCACAAATATGTGAATGATGTGAATTTGATTTCCATATATATGAATCATGTAGACCTACATTTAGTGTGATTAAAGAAGTCACGTATGTGAATAAAAGTTGCACCAAATCACATATATTCAACAAAAATGGTAAAAATCAATCACACATGTGCAATCAAAAGTTACACATATGTAATTACTAGTCACATTGACACATACATATGAATACACATCACACATGTGTGCATATAACACCACAGGAATCAATTACTCTGAAACCCAATTGAAGAGAGTCGTGGTGACTGGGTTTGCAACTTTCTTCAATCACAGGTTTTGTATGCCATAAGTTTTCTGATTCGCCTTCCGTCAAGGTATCATACATATGTCTCTGGATACTGCTGACCCAAGTCTTACCCCTTTGCCTTTCTTCCCAATACCTCATCCTTGTTTCACAACTATATCTGGCAAATCAAACATACCTCGACTTCATCCCTGCTGTGTCTCTTGGCATCTCACTGGTCTTTACAAGTGAAGGCAGCTGATTAGTTGAGCAAAAGACCTTGAACACAAGTAAGAGAGCAGTAGATATAGTGAGTTGTACTTGAAAATGAAAGCTCTGAGGCTGAAAGGGGGTTGTGATGATTTTTTCCATACTGAGGGACAAAGAATGGCAATAATCTGTGGGGTGACTGATAGGAATTCTGTTGAGTGATACCTCCATACATTTGGAGTTAGATTTTTTGATATAGTGGATCTTGATTCTTGACTGTAGGATATACTGACTCAAGGGGAATCAACAAATCTATGGCAAACCTATGGCAAACAAAACTTCTGATTGAAAAAAGCAGCAAACCTGGTCACCACAACTCTCTTCAATTGGGTCTCAGACCAATCGATTTCTGCGGTGTAAATTACACCAAATCACATATATTCAGAAAATGGAAAAAAATGGTGACAACCAATCATACATGTGCAATCAAATGTCAAACATATGTACAGCCCTTGTGAGAACTATTGGTAACTTTTGAGGTGATGGGTGTTGCCAAGTTTTAACTAGAGTCTAATCTTTGGTCCAAAACTCCATCTCTTTTGATGTCACTCAGGTTGTGGGCACGCTGTTAATTTTGTAGGCGGGCCAAGGCAGGTTTTTTCTTGATGTTTTGCGCCAAGGCACCACTTGACACGCCGGGCGTGTTTTCTTACAAAAAAAATTGCCAACAGCCAAAATTTTGTTTTTAAATTGTCATTTATTCTACGTTTGTATTGCTAGATCTATCTACCACCACAAAATTACCTTTTAGAGGTGAGAAAAGCTACAAAGAGCTGTCTTCAAAGCTCACAGCAAGGGTCCGGGTCCTCAATATTGGTGACAGGACATAGAACTCCAAAGATCTGGTGTGTTTTTTGGAAAGGCGCACCCACAACCTGAGATGTCACATGCCTAAAGCTTGGTCAAAAAGGAGTCTTTGCCAGTTTTGGATTAAACCTCAACACAACACAAAATAAAAAAATTTACCATTAGTTCTCACAACAGCTTTAAGTACTAGTCACATACTTGTGAATACACATCACCCACATGTGAATGTGATTTCCATCAAATCACATATATTCAAAAATGAAAAATATTGGGGAATACTAATCACACATGTGCAATCAAAAGTTGCACATATGGAAGTACAAATCACATATCTGTATAAAATGAAAACACAGTGTGGAATTCCAATCACACATGTGCAATCAAAAAGTTACACATATGTAAGTATGAACCACATAAATGTGAATACACATCACACATATCTGAATATGAAAAATCTCAAGTGGATGATGCTGATTAGGTGGACTGACCCTCTTCTGTCATTCTGTTCAACCCACAACATATCTTGGTCTTCCTTAGAGTGCGTTTGGTGCCCTTGAACCTTGCAGGTATAGATCTGCAAGGTGTACACTTGCGGATCCGCAGGTTGACATGGTCTACCTCAAGGTGTGTACCTGAGCATGATGCATTTGGTACACACAACCCAAAGCAAACTCAA